TCCAGTCTTTATTTTTAATTGTGAATGATATTTACTCAGAATGAGTGACATTCTGAAGAACTGATATAACTGCAAAGTGAGTAATTTATATATACATGGATAACCTGATTATAACATTCATACACACTAAAGTGCTCACCTATAATATCATACAAGAATGGAATATTTCTATTCTAACTGCAGGCATTTCTAGGCTACTTTGAGGCTTCAAAAGAGCATGTTCAAATCAGAGCAGGGCCACCTAGGAGCTCTCTGAACACAGGAAGGCTTCCTGACTGCTCTGTACCTCACCTGCAAAATGAGCATAATAAAAGTTTCTACCTTCTAGGTTTCTGTGAGAATTAGATGACTTAATCTACTCCAAGCTCTTAAAATTAATGCCTGGCACATAGTGCGTCCTTTGTAAGTGTTAGCTATTGCTATTATTATTGACCTATACCACCCTTGGTCATAACACCACACTTGATCATGAACTCTCTAAAAGCATCACTAAGAACCTGAGTTGTAAATAACTGCGGGGGAAAAAAACCATCTTGAATCTGGCCCTTGTCACCTTTCTATGGTCTCCTAAAGTTAAACAAAAAAATCAAAATATAAGGAGCAATCAAAAGGAGAAATGTAATCACTTAAGGGCAGGCTGAGGCACACAGGAAATAAAGAAAAACCACCAAACTCCTCTCTCTTGTACAGGGTCCAGTGCAAAAATCTCAAGAGCTGAAGTCCTCACAGCTAGGTTTCAGCTTTACCCCCTCTTACTAGCTGGGTGATTTTAGACAAGTGTTATTCTTTCCACATTACAGTGAAGCACTGAGCTCTAGCTACTGTGTACTAGCTGCTAGGAACAAAAGACAGAAAAGACACAGTAGCTGATTGTGAGGAGTTAACAGTCTGCAGTGGTCCCCAACCTTTTTGGCACCAGGGACCAGTTTCATGGAAGACAATTCCATAGACAGGACAGTGTGGGGGAGGGGGGACGGAGCTCAGGCAGTGATGCACCCGATGGGGAGCCTGTAAATACAGATGAAGCTTGCCCACCGCTCACCTCCTGCTGTGCGCCCCACCTCCAGAGTTTCAGATTAGGGACGCTCAACTAGTAAGTACAATGCAAATATTCCAAAATCTGAAAAAATCCAAAACACTTCTGGTCCCAACCATTTCAAACAAGGGGTACTCAATCGTACCACCTAATAATAAAAAGGATGAACCATTGATATACTCAATAATATCTCAAAAGCATGGTGAGAGAAGTCTTATACAAAAGGGTATATATGCTGTATGTGACTCCATTAATATATTAATAAAGTTCTACATCAGGAAAACTAACATATTTCAGGTTAAAAACAGAGTATGTATGGGTTGCCTTGGGGATAGGGGGTAAGTGCACAGACTGGGGAGAGACATAGGGGACAGAGGTTTATTTCCACAGGTGTATGCATAGTCAAATCTTATCAAATAGTATACTTAAGATTCATGTATTTCATGATACATAAATATTATTGTAAAGGGAAAAAAATGCAAAATACTGAGTTCTAGTTAATGACACATATGCTGTAATATTAGGGAGAAGGGTACTACTGTCTGCAACTAACTTTGAAATTCATCCAAAAATGATGGATTAGACAGAAGGGTAAGTGACTAAACAAGTTTATATAGTAATGTATTAATCATAGAATCTATTGGTGATATAGGTGTTCATATAAAGTTTTTTCAACCTGTCTTTATCCTGAGATTTTTCTTCTTAAAATATTGAAGAAAACAATCTATGTAGCATTCTCAAAGATAAATAGATTTATTTTCTAAACAAAAAAACTTGAGACCACTAACCTGGACAGTTCACTAAGGGCAACAGCTCAATTAAAATATTTGATATTGAGTTTTTACAAAGCAATCTATTTATTTTTAACTAATATATTTGGCTTACTGAATAAATATGCTATAAAGTAATTAAAAGAAGTTATTGTATAGGAAATCTAAAATTCTTCCAAAGTAAAATAGCTTTTTACAAAGCAGTCTATTTATTTTTAACTAATATATTTGGCTTACTGAATAAATATGCTATAAAGTAATTAAAAGAAGTTATTGTATAGGAAATCTAAAATTCTTACAAAGTAAAATAGCATCTTAGATAAATGTTTACTTAATTAGGATAAAAATGCCAAAAATACTTTTTTAGAGTACTTTGGTATACATACTTAATTTTCAAAAACCACAAATTCTAGGGATCTGAGCTAAAAGGGAAGGCTGAGTTCTGTGATCAGTACACAATCTTAAAATG